CTGTTGGAGCACACAGACTGGGATGGAATTCCTGCCAGCCCAGAAGGTGGGTGGGAGTGAGGGATGACCACACTTCTGTTCACCAAGAGGGTGTGGGAGATAAGAGTAACAAGGGAAATTTCACACCTTTCCAGTCGTTTGTGTCCTCAATGTCCTTGTAGTTCCCAGCAAGTGGAGCCTATTCTTAAGTCCTTTGAATCTGGTAGAATGCTGTCACTTTAAATATCCAAAATGGCTGAACAGTTTGCAAGCATTCAAAATGGCTGTGCCCTCTTGACAGCCAAAAGTCCACAGCTCAGCCACCTTCCTCTTTAATTCACGAGCCACCAGTGGCAGTCCTCCATGCAGCCCCTAGCTAGCAGGGCCAATTTTTAGGTTAATTCTTAGGTCCTAACACCTCTTGGCAACATCCAAGCTGTCTGTGCTGTCAGGATCGCTGCCAGACCGCAACTCTGTATGTCTCCTTTTTCAGTGTTTTCATGCAAGTTCTACTAGTTGGAGTTTAGTCTACTTCTATATCCTTCCCTTCAAAGCTCAGGGCTCCAAGATTATCTTCTGTATTTGTGTTAATTGGCTCATCTTTTCTTTGTTGAAGAGTCTGTGGAGTCTATCTGCCAATTCCACCATCTTACCAGAACTGGTACTTTCCTTTCAAAAGCAAGTTACGGGGTCTCTTCTGACATCCACTTTGGTCTTTTCTTCTGTTCTCATCTTTTTAATGACCTTTCACTTTCTTCATGTCTGATGTTCTTGATGTCATCCCACAACTTGTCTTTGGTCATTGGTGTTCAGTGGATCAAATCTATTCTTCAGATAGTCTCTAAATACAGGTGGGATATTTTCAAGGTCATATTTCGGCTCTTGTGGACTTGTTTTAATTTTCTTCAGCTTCAACTTAAATTTGCATATGAGCAATTGATGATCTGATCCATAGTTAGTCCCTGGTCTTTTTGTTAAAAAAAAATTTTTTATTGTGATTTGGGTGAAAGTTTACAGAGCAAACGGACTTTCCATACAGCAGTTCATGCACATGTTGTCCCTTGACATCGACTGCAAATTCCCACCATATAACAGCTCTCTTCACACTTCCTCCCCATACTTACCTCTTCCCTGTGTCCTTCCCTCCCATGCACTCCTGCCCCCTGAGTTGTCTCCCTGTGCATACACTGCACTGGTCTTGTTTTGACTGATGACATTGAGCTTCTCTATTGCCTCTTTTTCCAAGATGTTGTGTATTTGATTCCTGTGTATTCCATCTGGCAAGGTCTCACCATTTATGTTGTTTAAAACAGGTATTTGCAATAAGTCATTGGTTTGGGCAAATTCTATCATGTGGTCTCCAGCAACATTCCTATTACAAAGGCCTTACTTTCCAACTACTGATGCTTCTTCCCTTTTTTTGCAACTTTCACATTCCAATCACCAGTAATTATCAGTACATCTTGGTTGCATGAGTTGGCATCAACTCAACAGCAATGAGGTTTTTGACTAGTTTAGTTAGCTAGTGCTATTGTAAAACAAATACAAGTGGGTGGCATTTAAGAACATACACTTATTTTCTCACAGTTCTGGAGGCTAACAGTTCATATCAGAGTCTCAGCCATACTTATTCCTTCATTGTTGGTTGTTAAGGATAACTTTATTTTTAAGAATCAGCACTAAGCTCATTCCTATGAGGCAGAGGACAAATATACCCCCAGAGTCCCATTTCTCCACCTTTTTTGACACTAGCCATTCCCCCCACAACACTTCTCTATTGGGTATGATAATTCATTGGAACAGTCACAGAGAACTCATGGAAACAGCACAACTGCAATACAAGTTTAATAACAGAAAAAGACATAAAGGATATAAATATAAATGAGGATATACACAGGGTGAGGTTGGGGGACCAGCTTACCCTTCCAGAAAAATCAATGTTATTCTCATCCATCAGGAAACTTTCAAAGGAAAAATTCAGTGATGTCACTTGGGGGGATCCGTAGTAATTGGCCACTCTTCTTGGCTCTTGGCTTGGGTTCTTTACACTCTGCTGCCACATCTGAAAGGAGCTCTGATGGCACAGTGAGTAAAGCATTAGGTTGCTAACCAGAAGGTTGGGAGCTCAAACCCATGGGAGGAAGATAAGGCAGTCTACTTTTGTAAAGATTTACAACCTTGGAAACCCAATGGGGGTCACTATGAGTTGCAATCACTAGATTGCAGTGGAGGTGGGCCACATCTGAGTCTCCTTGTTGCCTCAGTCACTGCCACAGGTTTACCTTTTGCTGGAAGGGTCATAGTATAGGGCACTGTGTCCAAAGCAAGGCTCCTCTTCTGACTTGCCTGGATCAGGAACCCCACTGAGGCTCCTGTTCTAGGGTTTTTATAGGCTAGCCCCTGTACTCCTTGTTAATTACATGGTGGGCTCCTAACCAAGACAAGTAAAGATCAGGTGTGGTGGAGCCCCTCAGCCAATTCTAGTAGAAGTCAATTAGGATCTTGGCTGTAAACTGACCAATAACTTGCAAGATTGTGGCCTAATTGCTTATAATTTGGGAAAATTACAAACCCAGGGCTGCTGTTGTAAGGTGCCGAGTCAGCTCTGACTCATAGTGACCCTATGTACAACAGAAAAAACACTGCCTGGTCCTGCACTATCCTCACAATATTTGCTATGCTTGAGCCCATTGTTGCAGCTACTGTGTCAATCCATCATGTTGGGGGTCTTCTTTTTTGCTGGCCCTCTACTTTAACCCTCTACTCTAACCTAGGGCTAGAAAGCCAAATAAAGAAATCCATTAGACCACATGGTAGCCTCCGGTAGTTCCTTGGTTCCTTCGCTTACAGAAGACCCTCACATGACATCTGTCTTCCCCAGCATGTGCAGGCATGCTTGTCTAATCTACCCTTTTTATAAATCAGAAATGATTAGGTTAGGACACACCCTGTACTGATGTGGCTTCATCAACAGAACAAAGAAAATCCTATTCCCAAACAGGATTACATCTACAGGTTAAGATACCAATGTATATTTTGGAAGAATATAATTTAATCCATAAAATATCTTTTTTTCTTGTACAAACCAGATACATCCAATAGTCTATTACTTAAGACAGCCCTCCCATCAGCTCCACATTCAGGAAGGAAAAGCTTAACTGGTAATAACCACACACACACACACACACAAAGTCCAAACCAGTTGCTGTTGAGCTGCTTCTGACTCATGGTGGTGACCTATACGTGCACAGAACCACACCTCACTGTATTTGTAAGGCTGTGATCTTTCAGAAGCAGATCACCAGGGTGAATTAAAACAGCCAAATTTTGGTTAATAGCTAAGCACTTAACCATATATATTGCCCAGAGAGTCCTTAACTGGGGAACCAAAACCCAAACCAGACTCAAACCCAATGCCATCGAGTCGATCCCAATTCATAGTGACCCCCAATGGGTTTCTGAGGCAGTAAATCTTTATGGAAGTAGACTGCCCCATCTTCCTTCCATGGAGTGGGTGGTGGGTTTGAACAGCCAACCTTCTGGATAGCAGTCAAATGCCTTGGGCACTGTGCCACCAGACTTAACTCATTTCTCTGTTGTCATAGAGTAGCCCCAGACTTTCGGAGGTACTAAGAACTAAATATGGTGGTCACTCCCTTGCAGTATGCACTGCTGTTGAGTCAGATCCAACTCCTAGAGACCCCTCCTTGGGTTTCTGAGGCGTTATCATACGGAAGTAGATTGTCCAACTTTCCTTCTGAGGAGTAGCTAGTGGGTTTGAACCTCCAGACTTCTGGTTAGCAGTCAAATGCCTTAGGCACTATGCCACCAGAGCTCCTCCCTTTGCAGTATATTACTGAAAATAATTTTAAAATATTGAACTACAAAATGAGTGCAAGGAAAGCTAACAAAGGTCTGATTATTTTCTCATGTTGCTTCATTTTAAAAATGTCAAAATATTTCAAAAAGTGTTTTTCCTACATTGGGGGCCTTTGATGAACCTTACTTGAGCAATCAATCAGCTACAGAGGAAGGGACATTTCCTGCTGACCTAAGTTTGTGGCATTAAAGTCGTACCCATGAGATGTTTTGCCATTGAGTGACTATTATGTGTCAGGCACTGTGGCAGGCATTTATCATGTAATATTACTCATCCTTAGGTCTTGTCATCTCCATGTACAGATGGTGAAACTGAGAGGTCATAGGTTAGTAAGTGTCTGAGTTGAAATTCAAAGCCCAGGGACCTTTATTATTTGCAGTTGCCTAGCCTGGGAGCTCCCAGAGGACTTTAGGATCCTGCACCTAACACAGTGCTTGGCTAACAGCAGGAAGGTACTAAGAAATACCTGTTGAATGAATGGACTCCAAAAATGGTAAATGGAGCATTATGAAATACCTGACAATTACCGAAATCTAGCATCATTAACATGTACAGATTCAATAGTCAAAATTTAATAGAGCACCAGCAGAGAGATAAAACACACAAGTATAAAAAATAAACTCAGTAATAGTATCCCTGAGAATCAAAAAAGTTGGCATTCTGTACAGTGTTGTGCTGACTACCATTGAATTGAGGTTGTCATTCAGATCAGTGTATGGGCAATCTGGAAAGATTCTGCAGTGTCTTATTTTCATTCCTCATTTTAAATGTTTCTGTTTCTCATACTTAAAACTTGGCCCTTATTTTAGTGAGTAGACCCCTTGCTGTTGAGTTGATTCCAACTCATGACGACCCTTGTGTGTCAGAGTAGAACTGTCTCCATAGGATTTTCAGTGGCTGATTTTTTGGAAGTAGATTGCCAGGGCTTTCTTCCAAGGTGCCTCTGGATGGACTTGAACCATTATCTTTCAGTTAGCAGCCAAGTATTTAACTGTTCGGCTACCCAGGGCATAAGAGACTGAAAATTATACCTTCAGTGGCCAATCTTTTTTTTTTTTTTTTAAATTAATGAACATGTTATAAAGCAGTGAGTCCCAAGATGGAGTATTTTGGTCAAATGAGTCTATAAAATATAGGCTGTTCAGATATGTCCAACGTCCGAGAGTTCTAGAGTTGGGGTTTGCTCAGAGGGCCTCAGCCCTTGTTTGGCACTTTCGTCCTCCTCAGAGGCAGACCTGAGAACTGGGGTCCACTGTGCCTGGTGGACTGTTTCCTCCTCAGAGACTGGCTCTAGGGATCCCTGCTGAGCCGAGGTCCTAGGGCTGCAGCTGTCACCAGGACTCTGCTTGCTGCTTTCTAAGTCTTCTGTAATGACACTGAGTTTGTCAAACACTTCATCCTCATCAGAGGGTGGGAGGGAGAAAAACAACAGGGTGCTGTTATGTGGGTAGCCCAAAAACTGTGGGAGAGAAAATATGCAAAGTTAATTATCAGATTTTCCCCATAGCTTTTTCTGAGTTCACAAAGATTTTACGCAGGCTAGAGAACATTATTTTAAAAAAACACAACAATAAATCTGTACTTCATTTGCTAAGTGATTCTACGTCACTTGGATGATTCTCCTCTTTTCAAACATGAGGTACATTTTTCACCTGATCAGGATGCTGTGTGGCTGACACAGCTGAGACATCATTTTCTTAAGGAAGATGGGATGCTGCAGGCACTACATAAACATATCTTAGAGTAACAAACAGCATCTTTCATGTGTCCACAGGCATGCACTCTAGTTTCCCGAAGCTTCCTTGCCTTTCACTCTCTTGGCTCTTCTCTAGCCCCACCCCTCCGCCCCCATCAATTTCTCAGATGTTACAGAGGCTGTTTCCACAATCATGTTAGTGAAGTCTTTTGGCCTTGGAGGCAAAAGTTCATTTCAAGGGCCAGCTCTGATTTGCCCAGAGCATGGTTTCCTCTGTCCTTTCCTGTCTGACTAGCCTCTTTGATGGCAAAGCCAGAAGCAAAAATAGCAGGTGGAGGGCTTGGCTTCCTCTTGGTTCTCAGTTAACAAAACATCTAACCCTCTTTGTTCTGACCCTGTTTATTCTTCTTGCTGCAAGTGTGGCTTCTCAGAATTTCACCTCTAAAGGATTCTTAACTCAGTCTGGAGCTGCAGTCTCACTGGCTCTCTTTTTAGAGGGTTCTAGACACTCTGAAACACTTGTTTCAGCTATGTGCCCGCTTTCTGTCCTTAGTGGATGCTGTGCTGTCTGTCCAGATCCCTTATGGTGAGACACTTATTCCTGGGAATACCTGCAGCTGGAATGGCTCACAACCAAGTCCAAGAACTGACCTTTGCAGAAAGAGCTGCCTTGGCCAAAGCTACATGGCCTTCCCAGGGCAGCCTACATCAACCAACTGGTCAGTGTGGGGACAAAGTCCTGACTTTATCATTCATTAATCAAAACCAGCTGCCATTGAAGTTGATTCCAACTCATGGTGCCCCATTTGTGTCGGAGTAAAATTGTGCTCCACTAGGTTTCCATGGTTGTGACTTTTCAGAAGCATATCACCAGGTCTTTCTTCTGAGGCACCTCTAGGTGGCTTTAAACCACCAACTTTTCAGTTATTAGTCAAGCATTTAACTGTTTTCAATATCCAGGGACTCATTCTGCACCACCCAGGGACTTCTTATTATCAACAACAATATGCTAATAGGCCCAGAAGAGCAAGAAGTGGCAGGTACACTGGAGGCCTTGGTAAGACACATGTACTTTAGAAACTCACTCTATGAATATTTGGGAGCCTGCCACATCAAGCAAGTTGTAGGGCTCCTGTGGTGTGGGGCATGCTGGGACATCCCCTTCAAAGTAAAGGTCAAATGATCATTTCTTGTAATTCTACCCTTTGTCCTAAAAATGCTTACTCTGAACCTAGGAATACTGCTCTAATATGTTTATCAAGTGACTGGGAAGGCTGCCAGCTCTGAATGTGGCCCAGAGCAGGAACATGACTGCAGCAGGTATGGGCTATGGTGCAAGTTGTGCTGCCCGTATCTCATGACTGGTTGATGGGAATACAAAGGCCCTACATTATCTATCAATGACAATACAATAATCAAACCCAATGAATGTGAAGCAGGTTGTGAAACCTGGCAGGCCCTTGAAGTATCTGTGGTGGGTAAAGATACAGGGTGGGAAAAATTCCTGGGTGGTGCAAACAGTTTGCACTTGACCACTGACCTAAAGGTTAGTGGTTTGAATCCACCCAGTGGTGCTGCAGAAGAAAAGCCTGGTGATTAGCTTCTGTAAAGATTACAGCCAAGAAAACCCTATGGAACAGTTCTCAGCAACATACGGGGTTGCCATGAATCAGCACTGACGTGATGGCAATGATTGGTTTTTTTAAGTTGATGGCAAGACCCAAAAGAATCATAATGTAGACCCCTAGAGTTCTAGGGCCAGGCCTTCTGCAGCCAAGAATTATACCCCATTTGAAACATAAGTTCTGGAGTTCTACAGGAACCTGGTAGACACAGAATGTCTGATAGTGGGATGCCAGGTGACTATGCTGCCAGAAGGGCCCATCATGAGGACTGTCACTGAGTACTAAGAGTAGGTCAGAGGATACATGTCAGATGCTGAGGCAGGTGGTTCAGACTCCGACACCACCCCCACTGGTACACCAGTGCCTCTTCCTCTGCTCACACCTATGACCATATTGTTGCAGGGGGGTGTCCCTTATTACTGAGTGAAGATGGAGGGAAAGGTCAAACTTAGGTCACAGGGAGGTTGTTGTAGTACGTGGGTGCAAACCAAAACTAGCCTGATGTTGCACAACAGCCCTCACCTGGGGTGGCCCTGGAATGGCCCAAGTATTCCAATAGACAGAGCTTGAGCTGGGCATCCAGACACCCACTTTCTAAGAAGTACAGCTGACCTTTGAACAACACAGGGTTAGGGGCACCAACCCCCAAAAATCTGTGTACAACTTTTGATTCATCAAACACTTAACTACTAATAACCTACTGTTGACCAGAAAAGCCTTAACAATAACATAAACAATTAACAAAGTTCTTGCCATACAGTGATTAGATTTTCACATGAAGACACTCACGCATACACACATAACCCAGATAAAAATATTTACTGTATGATATGATGACTATTTACTATTCATTAAGTGGAAATGGATTATCATAGAGGTCTTCATCCTTATCACCTTCATGTTGAGTAGGCTGAGGAGAAGGAGGAAGAGGAGGGGTTGGTCATGCTGTCTCAGGGGTGGTAGAGGTAAAAAAGGTACAGTAGGTAGAAGGGGAGTCAAGAGAGGCAGGTACACTTGGTATAACTTTATGGAAATACATCGTAATTTCTGGCTGACTCTTTGGTTTTTCACTTCTCTAAGAATGTTTCTATATGGTACCAATCCTCCTTCTACGATTTGCTTTAGTTTAAGTGCCCATATCATAGAGGGTCCATGTCATAAAATATGTAAAAAAAGAGTCTTGAATAATTGGAACTCTTCTGCCAGACTGTCTATTGCCAATTTCTTTTTTGGCATGGCTTCTTCTATGTCTTCCTCCTCATCGTCTGGCACTCGTTTGGCAGCACTCATCTCTATCAAGTTGTTTTCTGTTAATTCCTCTGGTGATGTGTCTATTAACTCTTGAATTTCTCCAAGATCCCTATCTGAAAACAATCTGTGTATAAGTGGACCCATGCAGTTTAAACCCGTGTTGTTTAAGGGTCAACTGTAGACAGAGATAGGCTACCCATGAAATCACAGACAGGGTTAATGTTAGGCTGGTTGGTCAAGGGCCTAGAAAAAGAAAGACTGAATGATCAAAGACAAGGAAGTCTGGGGAAAAGGCATGTGGATGGACCTACTGGAGTAACCTGAAAAGCTGAGGTCTTTATATCACTTATTAACTCCATGTACCTGGAAGGGGAAAAAAATCACCAAGTAGACCAGATGACTTGGCCAGATGACATCAGCTAGCTTCTGTCATTGGTCACCCTTGTGTGGGCCAATGGGTTCATGAACAATGTAGTTAGGGTGGCAGGGATAGAGGCTATGAATGACCCAAGAGCAGGGGATGCCACTCACCACCAATGCCTATGTAGCTGCTGCTACTGAACAGAGATCAGTGCTGAGTCCCCCTGATATGATACTAGTCCTCAAGGAGATCTACTAGCCAGCCACCTGGAAGCAACTTGGTTTCCCTGGACCTCTTGTACTCTAGAAGGGGCAGGGATGCATCTTGACTAGAGCTGACACCATGGTAATGGTTTGCCATTGCTGTTCTGCAAGGCCTTGGCCAGCACTACTGAGGATTCACAGAATGTCCGCTCCAATGGCCTAAGACCCATATAACTTCATGTCAGACCAAGGGACCCACTGGCAGCAAAGGAGGTCAGGAGTAGGCACATGCCTATGGAATCCACTGATTGTATCATACACTGCCCTGCCCAGCAACTGCCAGCCTGGTAGGACAATGGAATGGTCTGTTGAGTAGGATGCCAGCTTGGAGATGACACTCTGTAAATATGGGGATTGTCCTCCAGCACCTGAAATGCATGTGAATCAACAACCTGTGTCCCCAGCAGGTAGACTGCATGGGTTCAAGCACCAGGGGGTAGGAGTGGCCCTGCTTACCATCACTCCCAGTGACCCACTTGGGGAATTTGTGTTTGTTATCCATGGAATTTTAGGCTCTCAGAGTCTAAACTATAGCCCATGGGCAAAATCAAGCCCACTGCCTGATTTTGTAGGGACCATGAGCTAAGAATAGCCTAGACTTTTAAACAGGTACATTTTAAATGATTATATAAGTACCTACATAAACATCTTGATATTACTTCTTGGTCTGTAAAGCCTAAAATACTTAACATCTGGCCTTTTAAGAAAATGTCGACTGATTCCTGATCTAGAGAGGTTCAAGGGGAGGCATTTACACCAAGTGACACAGTAAGAGTCTCATTCAACTTTAAACTGTGACTCCGACTTTTAGACTCCTTGTGCCAAGAAACTAATAGGCAAGGAAAGGAGTCACCACACTGGCAGATGCCACTGACCTGATCATCAGGTGGAGATAAGGTTATTGTTACATAATATTGGGCACTCTACACAGCCACTGGGGAGACTCAGGGTATTCCCCTGCCCAACTATGATAGGCAAATGGGTAAGTATAGTAGCCATCGCCTGAGAAGAGCACCAGTAGGGTCATCCAGGGTGGCCAGAGGCTCAGACCTCTTAGGTATGAGGGTGTGGGCCACCCAATCTAGTAAGCAGCCTATATCAGCAGAAGCCAACCATGGAAGAGGCGAGAAGGAACTCTAGAAGGAATAGCAGAGGAGGGGGACTACGAGTGTTAACTTGGGACCACTTGTAGTGGTGGGGGCTGGAGTTTGTTTCACTAACTTTCCTTAGGAAGAGAAATGAATGCAAATGCTGGAACGGCTG